GGATGGCAATTTGACTTAGCCCCGACCCGAACTGGCCCGACCTGCAGACTTTGGGCCGAGTTGGACCTGCTTCGTCATCCCGAGTTCCAGGAACCTCGCTAACCTTATAGGACAGTTACTCAAATACTGGGGCATGTCCCGTCACTATACGAGGCAGTCCGGGTTATGATATCTGCCCCGGCCCCATCCACCCCACCCCGACCAGGCCCGACCCAACCACTAATAATGGTCAAATTTTTTCCCTATTTACACTTATCTCTTCTCTTATTTTTTTCTCCCACTTTTTCTCATTCCCTCTCTTCAGATTTTTTTCTCTCTTTTTTTTTATCCCTTTGTGGCTTTGTCTCGTTCTCTCTCTCTCTATAAATTTTGTAAGTTTCTTTTTTTTTCCTTCTTGTCTTTGCACATCCATCCCACTCACACGCACATGCAGTCCCACAAAAAACACTTGTGATGACAAGATTGCGGGGCTATCGGCGAGGGGTGATGATTGATGACAATGACTTGGGCTAAGGATAATAGATCTCAATTCAATTAGGGTTTGATTTATTATCATGAATTTGGGATTTGGCTATGTGGACAAGAAAAGAGAACTTGGCTTGATGGTCTAGGCTCGATTTCAGCCATGGTTCTAACGATTTGGATTGATTATTGAATTTAGGAGTTGAGTTTTGTAAATTCGAAAGATTTGTTTTTGTTGGTTGTTCTTGTTCTCTAAGTTTGCTGTTGTGTAAATTTAGAATCTAGGTTGATTTTTTTTCTAATAAAATGATAGGCCGGGCCAGGTCTGCCAGCCCCAACACGGGTCAGGTCGTGGGCCCACCACAATGGACCCGTAACGGGGCACGGGCCAGGGCAGGGCGCGAGACTAGGGGCGCGGGGCAGGTTCGAGTACTGAACTACCCGGCCCGACCTACCCCATTGTCATCCCTATACCCCAATTCATTTTCTTCATCTCATTGTGTTAGCAACCTCTCTTCTCCCTCAATTCTACATTTTTTAAGTGTTCGATCTTGAGTTGTTGTGTTTGATTTGCAAGAAAGTCCGTCCGATTATATCTAATTTCGACTCAAAACTTCTTATTTTATAAATTCACAATAATTTTGATTTCGGTTCTATAAATTTACTCTCATTTGTATTATGTTTCAACTCTTTTTTTTTATTTTATAAATTATTTTTGAAATTACAAAATGTCGAGCTCTTGTGGTGGTCGTGCTCGTGTTCTGCACAAAAGCGTAACAATAGCGGCGCATCTTCTTCGAAACCTCCATTGCCGACAATGGTGAGGCCAACGATACATTTGGATGTTCTCGGTGTAGGTGATGATATTGATTCGCGACGATTGAACTCTTATATAAGTCCATTGATGAGATCCGAGAGGCTGTACACGAGGAGTACGAGCAAGGGCAGCAGCAGCTGTATGAGGACAATTTGGACGAAGTTTAGGAGGTCAAGATGTTAGTGTTATATACTCAAAATTTGACTTTAGATGATATTCCACTTTTTCCCCTGATGAATGAGTATCATGTTCGATTAAACAAGTTATATGTTCTGCTGTTTTGCACTTAGATAAAATGGTTCATCAGGGATGAACAGTAAATCATTTTATCAGTTACTTGCGAAACATGAATTTATGGTTCACAACCTAGATGGAAATGAACACCTCATCAGAACGGTTGTAGTGTCAACGGTACAATTTATCTTGACTGATTAGATGCACTAGTACAATTATGTATTGAACAGGATCCCAGAGAGAAGTAATTTGTTATATAATGATCGTCGTAAACAAACACAAGTCTCGGTTAAATAATGTGTTCTCTTAACCCGTAAGATATTAGACAGACATGTACATGCAGTATTTATTACTTTGTTTCACATGGGTGAGATTCAGTTCGCTGGATCAATAGTCTTACTGTCTTGGACAATATTGTTGTATGTATGATATGATGTTAGGATATTTACGGTCACCATGTGCGTTAGTTTGATGATGTCCTCGAAGGGAGTTTATGAAGGATTCTTATGCTAAATTCTGAGGTGGATTAAATTCCGGCATAATAATAATGCAATGAATGAGCGCTAGCTTTAGTAATATAATATATTAAATAATTCTTAATTATCAGTAATTGAATTAATTAATGGACATCATATCTTAAACATGGGGAGATAATTCGGGTAATTATAATTGGAGTCTCAAATGTAATTTGGGATAAGAAAATGAAGTGCAATAATATTATGTTAGTGAACAATACTATTATTTAAGTAATTGGAAGAGTGGCCCAGACCCATAGTTAGTTCATTACTTAAGAAACCATATTCCTGTTCTCCTAAGGATCCCTAATGTAGCTCTATATATACATCATTAAGCTCATGGAAAAGAAAATAAGAGATCAAAAAATCCCTAACGTGTATTCATTATGCACGCACGCCCTCTCTCTTTCTCTTATCTCTCTAGACTTTTGTTCGAGCTTTATCTTCTTCTTGTTGTTCCACCGATACAAGTTGGAGAGGTGTTCGAGTAATACAGTAGAAAATCCCGTGGTAATCGAGACCCCGTGATCAAATATTTATTCAACCCCGGAGCTGCCGACCATCGACCACCGTGAGCCACCGCCGACGATAGCCCACGACGAGCCAGTCGCGAGACGGCGAGCCGCATACAAGTCGCAGCCCGACGCCGTAGCCCACGCGAGCCTACGACGATCCCGCAGCCCCGGCGACGCTGCACCGCAACCCAACCACGACGCCTCTTTGTCGTCTGCCTCCCACGACCGCACACGGCCACCGGTAACCCCCCGATGCAACACGTGCTGCTAACAGTCATCCCATCTAATCCATCTTGTTAGATTCAGAAAATTTTAAGCCGTAAATTTTCTACGTCAAACCTTTAGATTCATTGCGCATAGGTTTACGTTTGCTATTGAATTCGTGATTTATACATAACAAGATCCTTACAGATCCTAAGACAAGGGACACAAGAGCCTCAGCAACAGGCGCGGCCACCCTGGCGAGGATCGTGTATCTCTCTAACTCGATTTCTAAGTGATAGGTTGCTAATACGCGCATCGACACCTTCGTACTGCGTGGTGTTGTGCAAAACCCAGATGTGGTTTTATTTCTAACATGATTTTGTATGTAAAACTGACAAGAATTCTAGCACACGAGATTGGTGATCGAATCGATCGATTTTCTTATTTCTTGAACTTGAACAAATGAAATACATGAACTAGGAACAAGTATTTAAAGGCCTAATACCGATAAAATAAATATTTAAAGTCCTAGAACTAATCATAAACTTAAGAGAAGATATAATCCTACGAAAAATATGATTCTAACTTAAGGAAACTAAATATCATATGCTACATTGTTATAGAAATCCCAACATTAATAAACTCCTAAGCAATCTAAGAAATCAATAAAATATCTAATTAATAGCTAAAATCCATCCAACCCATTCAGAGAAGCGTCATGTACCTTATAGATGGTTCTCGGTTACTTGATGCCCAAGAATAACTCGTCCAGCCCTCCTGTTGTCCATCTGTGAGTCTCCTCTTAGACATAGGTCTTGCAGGTACGCTCTTATGCGCGTGCGCGCTGCCCTGCACGTGCGTGTTGCCCAGGCGCCTGATAGTCTCGCGCTGCTACTCTCGTCTGGGCGTTGTCTGCATGTCCTTGTCTTATCGCGCGACATCTACGGGTCGCACGCGTGTCTGCGTGCGCCTCTTTTGTTTCGCACTTGTGAATCACTTCGCTTAGGTAAGAGTGTTCGCTCTTCTTGTCCTCCCGTGCACCACCTCTCACCTGCACGCGGTCTCGCGCGGGTTATTCCACCCCAAGGCGGCTGCCCCAGGTCGTCTCGCACCTAGTGTTGCAGACCTCAGCAGCGACCAGGCTCTCTCTCATGTGTCTGGTCCAGTCGTGGGTGTTTGCGGCCGTAAAAACCCACATTCACATCATTCTCACCCCATTTAAGCACATTCTTGTCCTCAAGGATTGGGGTAGACCACTCGTGTACACTCTTCTCTTCTATTAGCTCTAAACTCTTTAACTACGCACCTTTAGCCCCGCCACTAGGTTTGTTCTTTGGCATGACCAGCCTATTGTCCGAATAAAACTCCATTATCCCCTCCTTATAATTGGTTTTGACTTCTCCAAGTCCTTTTAACCATTGAACCCCAAGAACTATGTCGGGCCCTACCAACGCTAATGAATAGAGGTCGACCTTTATGGTATCCCTTGAATATTGATGATCTATGGGCACCTCTCGATAATACTCACAAAATCGTAGCCGTTCTCGTGGCTACTCTTACGCGTGTCCCATTCCTACCGCGTGACATTTGCAGGTCGCATGCGTGCCTGCGCGCGCCTCTTCCATTTTGCACTCGTGAATCACTTTGTTTATGTCACGATTATTCGCCCTTCTTGGTCCTCACATGCACCGCCTCGCGACTGCTCGTGGCCTCGCTCTTGTTTGCATGGGTCGTCCCGTGTTAGCACGGCTTCCCCAGGTCGTCTCGCACCTAATGTTGCAGTCCTCAGTAGCAACCAAACTCTCTCTCATGCGTCAGGTCCAGTCGTGGGGTTTGCGGCTGCAAGAACCCACATTCTCATCATTCCTGCCCCTTTTAAGCACATCATTGTCTTCAATGATTGGGATATGCCACTCGTGTACGCTCCCCCTACCTACTAGTCTATGCTCCTTAACTCTGCGCCTTTAGCCCCGCCACTAGGTTTGGTCTTTAGCATGACTAGCCTATTGTTTGAATAAAACTCCATTATCCCCTCCTTATAATTGGTTTTGACTTCCCCAAGTTCTTTTAACCATTGAACCCCAAGAACTATGTCGGCCCTACCAACAATAGTGAATAGAGGTTGGCCTTTACGATATCGCCTTGAAGATTGGTGATTGATAGGAACCTCTTGATAATACTTGTGACATCGTAGGTGTTCCCCGTTGGCTCCTCTCACGTCTAATGGCTTCACCTTTGCCGCTGATAACTTCAACTCGTCGGATATTATCGCACTAATGAAAGTTTGGGATAATCCGATATAACTAACACGTAAATAGATCATCCTCGAATTGAGACGGACAACTTAAGGGTTCTTGGCCCATACATCCCATACATCGCATTGGCCGAATTTTCAAGTCCTCATTGACAAAGTTCCTCAATTTATCCTCTTTGGGTTCGTCCTCGTCCCTTCAATGGCGTACAATTGCTGTTTACACCGATGACCCGACGCAAAATTTTTGTTGCATCGAAAACATAACCTCTTGCTTATCCGATGTTGCTTCTCCTCTTCAGAAATTTTTTCCTTGCTTGCCCTTGATGGATTTCCAACCTTTAGTGTGTTGTCCGAGCAACTCCGCGGCTCTGTGCGTGGCGATTGCGTGTACGCCTCCATGAGTGGCTCACTATCACGTCCGTACGAGTGGCCAACCTTGTGCACTGCGACCAAGTGGTCGTCGCGTATGCGTGCATACTACATGACCTCCCACAAGTTTCTTGACCTCTCGAGCCTAACCTCTACTGCAAGATTTGGCTTAAGGCCTCCAACGAACGAGCATATGAGTGCACGCTCTGGCCAACCACGTACATGACTAGCTAGGCGTTCGAACTCCTTTTGGTAGTCCCTTAGCTTGCCCGTTTGCTCGTCAAAATCATAATATTCAGCTGATCCAAACCTCGTGATCAGCCCCTTTCCAAATTGCCTCCACTTCAATTGCTTGCATTTTTCCCATAGACTTGTGAGATCCATTGCCACATGCACAAAAAGGTTGGCCAAGTCACTTTAATCAGGTGGTTAATGAACAACAAACGGGCCACGTGCTTGATCTGACGCTAAAATCAGTATTCCAAAGTTAGAAGGACTATGAGCATGCTTGGATCCCTTTTTTTTTTTTTTTT